GACTGGAATCGAACCGGGGATCCTTGAGTCCACAGGCTGATGCTCTATCCACTGAGCCAAACTGGTCAGGGCTACATGGCTGTTATTTTAGCTGTGAAAATGGGTGAGGTTACTTAGGAAAAGAGCATGAAGTGAGAATAGGAGGGTGGCGGGGGAGGGGGGGGCCTGGGAGTGCCAGACTTTTAGGGGAAGGCGTGGGAAGAGAAGTCCATGAAGAAAACTGAGAAGATAAGACCAAAGGGTAGGAGGTTTCTGGGAGAAAACAGTACCATCCATGTGCAGACACTGGGCCCCTGTACCACAATGTCCATCCTCTATCAAGCTCCTGCTAGATCTTTCTGCAGTCTATCTTCTCATGGCTATTTCTGATAATAATGCTACACCCATCTTTTATATGCTCTGCATTTACCTGCTAATCTTTACCAACGGGATGAAGTTTCCAATTACGCTGACTTCTATTTCCCTTTTAGAGTTCGGATGACTCAGCCACAGAGAGGCTCTGTGGTGTGTAAAACAGCTCACCCAGAAGCCGGGTTCCAGTTAGAACTCAGGCTGCTTTTCTCAAATGCCTGCTGTGGGAATGGCTGCAAATACCAGTCAGGTCAACAGGTCATGTTGCCCCACCAACAAGGAGGCCCCACAAGAGAGAATGATGGCATCAATATTGCTGAAAGGCCCAATATGGGAAGCAATGAGAAGGGCAGGGAGTAAGGCATCCCTGGAAGAGAGGAACATGAATAGCCTTGCTTTCCAGAGGAGGCCTCACCTGTGGTGGTCTGGTACCTGAAGATGGAAGAGAAATTCCCATTAGAGAGCCAGGCTAATGTCAGACAACTCTCTTCCAAGATATGACAGCATCCTTGGTCTTTGAGGGAGAGGAGAGGAAAGCTGCCAACTGAGGGGTAAGAAGGGCCTAACTCTTCAGTGTTGAGAACATTCCTTTCTAAAGTCTGGCAACACCATCAGGGTTACTGAAGACTGTATTTTTGGCCAGAGCAGAACGAGGAGCCCAATTCTGTCCCAGCTTCTGAGCAAAGGGAAGAAGGAGCCTTGATTTCTGGTCCCTGTGGAGCTGTAAGCATGCTCCTTGACCCTGG